TGATGCGTCCCTTCGGTTCTTGATGAACATTTATTCCAGAATTTTGATCGAGAGACAGCAGCACTTGTGGAGCAGCTGGTCACCAGCGCCATTTCGAGAGCCACGGACAGCCTTAAGAAAGAAGCCGAAATCGCACATCTCCGTCGACAAGCACAGAATTACAAAAAATTGCTCGAGAAACTTCAACAATCTACCAAACTCACCATAGAAGAAAAGGTTCTTCCGACTATTTCTCATTGAAATCTCTTCACTGAAAAGTCCTTGGCGCTATGATTTTCTTCAGCCTTTTTTCAACTTTTTTCACTTTTAGTCCTTAACTCAATGGATTAGGTCATAACAAAAGTGTGATTCAGCCACAAACGTTATTATTGGGCAAAAAATGACTGACCCAAACTGAACACAGCAAAACTTTTTTATTCACAATGCTATTCAAACTCCTCCCATTAGGTTGAGTGATTTACAAATCTAGGGAGAGTTCTCAAAAATTGACAAAGGTAACTAATTCGCTAAAGCGACTAATCTTGCCATTTTTGGTTCTATTTTAGGATGGAGGATTCCACGATTAAGGCGAAGAAGAAAAAGGGAAAGCATACCTAATGGAGGAACAGGGGGCACTCCTAATGGTGCGGAACGACACGCAATTCGCATCGAAAGATATGCCCCTGGCGATCTAGCATGGCCTTCTCCGCGGCCAATTGGCGCGCTATTGGCCCGGTACGCCCTCCTCTCGCGTCGTCTCGTGTCTGAGTCTCTAGCCGTTCAGAGAGAGCGTTAGCGTTGAAGAGGGCAGCACCGATGAGAGTCGCATCAATGCGCAAATCAATGAACAAGGAAGGAGGTTATTCTTGGGTTCTAAGACTTCTTCTTTCGTGTACCACTGGCCATCTCTAACTTAATTCCTAACGAGCTTTTTCTATCGCAAAATTATAGGAAAAGAACAGTCGCGCAGATTCTGTTCATTGCCGATTCTGTTCATTGCCGAGCAGCCACCGCCCATTCAGAATTTTTATGCTATTGTGAATATTTTCAGGATAAAGTAATCGAATCACTGCAACAAGAAGAAGCTAGACGACTAACTCGAAATTTGGCGGAGGAAACTTGTGATCAGGTACAAAAATTCTCCGAGTGATTGTGCAGTGGTCCTAGCAACACATTTTACACTCCCAGGGAAGTAGTGCTCCGCGTGAAGAGGGTAAATTCGCTCGAACTCTGCAAAAATTCCACTTTGACATATTGATGAGAGCGCGGCAACCAGTATGTATGACAGACTACACCTATCACATTATTTTTTCATGCACGCTCGACTTCTTCCCCACTTT